CCAACCAAGAAACACCTATGTGCTGTCCACAGGCGACACACTTTCATTTGACAGATATAACCAGCTTGAAAATACAGGGATAAAAATATATCATGCAAATGGCAAGCCACAAGAAAGCTGGAGTAGCTACACTAATAACAAAATAGCCCTTAAAAGAAAAAAAGTTACCAAAGAGGGACCTTTTATAATGATAAAAGGATTGACTCATCAGGAAGATATAATAATTACAAACATATGTGCATCTAAAAACAGTACAACCTAAATAAATGTAAAAGGATAGAAATAATACATGATACAAAGTATATTCTCTAACCACAATATAATGAAATTAGAAAAAATTTGTGAACGCCTGTAATCCTAGCACTCTGGGAGGCTGAGGTGGGTGGATTACCTGAGATCACGAGTTCAAAACCAGCCTGGCCAACATGGTGAAACCCCATCTTTGTTAAAAAAAAAAAAAAAGGAAGTCACAATTATGTGGAAATTATACAACACATTCCTAAATAATTAATGGCTCAAAGAAATCAAAGAGAAATCAGAAAATAATTTGAGATTAATGATATGAAGACACAATATATCAATATGAGATGCAGCTAACACAATGCTCAAAGGGAAATTTATAGCTGTATCCCTACATTACGAAAAAGATCTCAAATCAGTAACTTAATCTATAATCACGACACTGAAAACAAAAAGGGCCAACTAAACTTAAAGCAAGCAGGCTAATCTGAGCAGATTATTCAGATTACTAAGCAGGAAGAAGGAAACAATAAGGATTAAATTGAAAATAAAATAAAGAATAGAACAGAGAAAATCAATGAAGCCAAAATCAGATTCTTTGAAAAGATCAAGGTTGACAAGCCTTTAGCTAGACTGACTACTGCATTAGAAAAAGAAAGAAGACACAAATTATAAGCATCAGAAATAAAAAAGGGGATATTACTATTGACGTTATGTGAAAAGGATTATAAAGAAATACTATGAACAAGGGTACACCAACAAATTAGATAACTTTGATGAAACAAATTCCTAGAGATACAGACTACTGAAACTGACTTGGATAAGAAACAAACTATCAGAAGACACCTATAACAAGAGATGAGATTGAATTAATAATAATAAACTATCTATAAAGAAAAGTCTAGGCCCAGGTGGCTTTACACTGAATTCTACCAAACATTTAAAGAATACATGCCAATTATTCACCAACTCTTTCAAAAAACAAACAGTAGGGAACACTTCTCAACTGATTTTATGAGGCTAGTACTACCCAATACCAAAACCAGACAAGCATAATAGAAGATAATAAAACTACAGATCAATATCTCATGACTATATATACAAAAATACTCAACAAAATACTAACAAACTGAATCCAACAATATATAAAAAATGTTATATATCATGACCAAGCAGGATTTATACCAGGAAAGCAAAGCTGGTTTAACATTAAAAAAAAAAAATCAATTAATGTAACACATCAATAACAACCACCACCACTGATCATTTCAATAAACAGAAGGGAAAAACCCCCAAATCTTTCATGGTAAAAATCACACAAAAAGTAGAAATAGAATGGAACTTTCTCAACCTGATAAAAGACATCAAAGAAAGTTTACAACTAACATCATACTTAATGGTGAAAGATTGGATGCTTTCCCCTTAAGATCAGAAATAAGCATTTCCAGTCTCTCCATTTCTGTTCAACATTGTACAGGAAGCCCTACCCAGGGAAATTAGGAAAGAGGAAAAAAAAAAAAAAAAGGGCATCTGGAGATTGGAAAAAGAAGTATAACTTTTTATTTGCAGATGATATGACCCTGTATATAGAAAATCCTAAGGAAACCACTAAAAAACTATTAGGGCTAATGAGTTCAGCAAGATAGCAGGATCCCAGATCAATATACAAAAATCAACTGTATTCCTATACAATTGAAACGATTAAATTGAAAATAAAGTGATACTAAGGGGAGCTGGGAAATGCTGGGTAGAGGAGGGCGTGGTCTCTCCATAGGGCTCCATTCCCAGGCCAGGGCCCACGGACCTAGGTGGTGAGGATAGGTATTTCTGTTTTCCTACCCAAATGCTGCATTTCCTAGGACCACTCTGGCCCACCACGCCCCTATCCTGTGCTTATAACCCTCCCCCCCGCCCCCCGGGAGACTCTAGAAGGCAGACCCACAGGCAGTTGGATGTCGAGAGGTATGCACCGACAGAGGAGTACACCAGCATGCCGGCAGGCCATCCAGCTGCAGAAGACGCAGAGTTTGGCCGGGGAGGTTGGAGGAGAATTGGGCAACCTGACTCCAAAAGGAAAACCAACTCGCTTCTGGCTCCCCCATCTGCTAAGGGCTACACTTCTACTTCATAAAATCTTGCACTCAACTCTCCAAGCCCACATGTGATCCGATTCTTTCAGTACATCAAGGCAAGAACCCCAGGATATAGAAAGAACTCTGTCCTTGCAATAAGGTAGGTCTAATTGAGCTGATGAACACAAGCCACCTATAGATGGCTAAACTAAAAGAGTACCCTGTAACACACGCCCACTGGGGCTTCAGCTGCAAACATTCACCCCCAGACACCCCCATGGGGGTGGAGTCCTACTGCCTGCTTGTCTATTTGTTCCCCTAGAGGTTTGAACAGCAGGGCACTGGAGCAGCACGCACACCCCCAGCACAGGCCCTGCAAGGGGGACAAGGGAACTTTTCCATTTCCAAAGAAATTAATCAATTTACAACAGCATCAAAAAGAACAAAATACTCAGGAATATAGTTAGCAAAATGTGCAAAATTATACCCTGAAAATGACAAAACACTGTTGAAAATAATTAAATATCTAAATAATTGGAAAAACATCCCTTGTCCATGGATCAGACTACTTAAGTTTGTGTAGAGGGGAATATATCTGAAAATGATCTACAAGATGTAATGCAATCCCTATCAGAATCCCATTGGATTCCTTTGTAAAAATTGATAAGCTGATTGTAAAATTCACATAGAATTGCCAGAGACCCAGGATAGCCACAACAATCTTGAGAAAAAAAGAACAAAGTAGGAGGACTCATTTCCCAATTTCAAAACTTATTATACAAAGCAACAGTAATCAATACAGTATGGTAATGGCACAGGGGTACTGCAGTGAAACATCTCTTCACCAGTCCCACTGCCAGCTATCAGATTTGAACAGTCATCATTTTTTCATTTAGACTACTGCAGACTGATTTCCTACCAATCCACCTTCTAAACTTGGAAATTTTAATTTGGTATACACAGCTGGATCCACAAATCTCCTGAAATTTTTATGTATATGAGCACGTTTTTGGGGAATAGTTTTCGTAAAATATGAATGCTGAGATGACTCCAAAATGTTGCTTATTTTTCTCATGGAAGACAAACCGACCTTTTAAAATGCAAATACGTCATGCCATTGGCTTGTTTAAAGCCTTTCAGTATTTCTGCATTACTGAGAAGATAAAACCCAAACTCTGTGATGACATACAAGGCCCCTTCCTGATGTGGCTTTTACCTCTTTAGCATAAACTCTCATGACTATCTCCTCCGTATCCCTATATTGGTCTCCCTCCTCTATACAACTAGTATTATTAATGTAGCAATAAAACAGAATATACACCCAGAACTCAACAGACCCATTTGCTTCAGGGCCTTTCTACATGCTTCTTCTCTGCCTGAAATTATCCATTTACATCTGCTCTCTGGTCCTCAAAGACTCAGGGATTGCAATAGGAAATCATTTCCTGTTCTCTCCAGTCAGGATTGTGTTCTAATGCACTGCGTTCTGTGTACACCACTACAATAACTCTTAAAACACGTTATAATAATTAACCTACTTATCTTTCTTCCCCACTAGATTATAAATCTTAAATACTAAGAACAGTATTTTCCATTTCCATATTCCTAGTGTTGGCACTCAATTATTTCCTGAACAAATCGCACATTCTCTTCTCAACCTGTTGCAAACCACTCTTGGAAACCATCTACAATCAATACTCTCTTTTCATTACCAAATTTAATTTCAATTCCTCATCTAGCCTAATCCAGGTCTTTTTACTTAATCCTTTTATTTGACCTATCAATAACACCTGACACCGCTGCCCACGTCCTCTTTCTTGAAATTCTTTCCCCATTTGGCCTCCTGGATCCTATTCTCACTTGATTTCTTCCTCCTAACTCACCAGCTACCCCTGAGCATTATTTTCATTACCTTGGCTTTTAAACGCTAGGAGAGCCTCAGGGTTTGGTCCTCAAACCCTTCCGTCCTTTATACTCACAGTCTAAGATGACTTTCGATTTCAAATCTTTTGCTGACAATTCTCAAATGTGTAACTGATTTACACAGGTGGGTTCGCTTTGCGAAATTTCACTGAGCCAAACACGAGTCATACAGTCTCACTTCAATGTGTACTTCCACAAAAGTAAAAAGAAAAAACACGAAACTGGTTGAACTCTCTAACAGGCACTTCATAACCCATATCCCGAAGCCAACTCATCGCCTAGCCTTTTCTTGCTCAGGACATAGAAGCCCATTCTCGTGATGCTCCATGACAGTTTCGGTCTGAGCAAAGGTATCTGGGAACTCCAGCCTACAGCCAGTTGTGTATGGAGAACAAAACCATTGTGGCTTTTTTTCCCGTCTCCCCTGAGAAGCAGTCAGGAGGAGAGGAGACTCAAGCCAGTCCCTTTCCCACCGGGCAGGGAAATCGCAATTTGGGGTCTCAGGACCCACCTCAGTCCAAGACCAGGCACTGTCACTCAGGCCTGCGCCACCCTTCCCTCCGGCGGCCCAGGTACCCCCGACACACACGCTGCAGTCACCTCCCCCACCCCCCCTCACCTCCCAGCGGCCCTCGCCTCTCCTCGTCCCTCACCACCCCCCACACCCAACTCCCGGCCGGCCCTGACCTCGCCCCTGCCCTCCCCTCCCCCACACTCACCTCCCGTCCGGCCCTCGCCTCCCCCACGCCCCTCCCCCACACTCACCTCCCGTCCGGCTCCGGCCCGGAGGTGTCGGCTGAAGGCCCCGCGGCTCCCTCCGTGCTGAGCCCAGAGGCCCGGCGGCTTCGCCTCCGCGGCCGAGGCTGCTTCTGAGCCGCCAGCTCGGGCTCCATGGCACGGAGGAGGGGCTGGGGCGGTGGCCGGGTGCCCGGGAGACCGGCTGGGACGGGCACGTTGCCCGCCAGCCTCTGGCAGGCAGAAAGCGCCTGTCAGCGCACAGCCGCCGCCACCGCCGTCATCCGGGGATTTGAAAATGGCGGCTGCGCAGCGATCAGCCAATCAGTGAGCGCGCAGCGGTTCCTAGGAGACGTGAAGTTCCGCCCCTCCGCCGCTACAGGGATCTACCTGCCAGGAAAAAAATCTAGGAAAACTTGCCCTTAACTCTTTTTTTTTTTTTTTTTTTTGAGACGGAGTTTCGCTCTTGTTACCCAGGCTGGAGTGCCATGGCACGATCTCGGCTCACCACAACCTCCGCTTCCTGGATTCAAGCAATTCTCCTGCCTCGGCCTCCTGAGTAGCTGGGATTACAGGCACGCGCCACCATGCCCAGCTAATTTTTTGTATTTTTGGTAGAGACGGGGTTTCACCATGTTGACCAGGATGGTCTCGATCTCTCGACCTCGTGATCCATCCGCCTCGGCCTCCCAAAGTGCTGGGATTACAGGCTTGAGCCACCGCGCCCGGCTTGCCCTTAACTCTTGACCGCGTCCCTGAGTGCCCAAGGTCCGGGTGTCCATTAGGACTTTCACTACAGGCCAAGGCAAATGGACTGGAAGCATTTTAAGTCACCAGTTCTTTCTTAGCATTTGGGGAGAAGGGAGATTGAAAGTAATGGCCTGTAAACAAGGCTCGTTTATTGGCCATATGCACACTAAATTCCAATGACCAAAGATTATGCAAGTGTGTTCCCCAGGGCTGTCTCTAGGAAACCAGCAAAATCTAATTATGAGCCCTCATGTCTTCCAGTAAGGAAGACACAGTCTCTCCCTAGCAAAACAGAATGAAGTGACTTCGTCCTCTGCTTGTAAAGAGTCAGCAAAAGACACAACATAAAAGACCACCTCAAGTAAAAAAAAATTGTTAAATCACACATTCTTTGATTTTAAATATTGCTTAATATGTGTCAAAGACTTTAAAAATAGCTTCTCCTTTGGCACTATAATTCCACTTCTAGAAATTTATCCTAAAAAATAAAATTATATAAACATGAAGCTATTAATGTTGTTTATAATATAAACATTTAAGACATCCTAAATCGACAATGATAGGGAAATGACTAACTCAGCTCATCTACTGAGAAGAATATTTTCAGCCAACAAAAATGAACTGTGAAGTGTGTAACAGAATGGTATACTGTAATTTGAAATAAAAACATGAAGTATAGAAGTATATTCGGTATATTCAAAGTTATGAATGACGAGATTATACAAAGGAAAAAAAGTCAATGTATTAAAATGTCTCTAAATGGTTAGACTTTCGGTATTCAAAATTTTTATTTTTATATTTTGCACTTAATTTTTTTTTAAACAAGGACATACTGAACTTGCAATACCTTTTATAACATGAGAGAAAAATGTTTTAATTTTGAAAAGAGTAAGAAATTAGGGAGTAAGATGACCTTAGTCAAGAACCACTTCTCTTCTACCTTCCCCATCCCTCCCCCAAAATTAAAGAAAAGACTGCTTTGTAGCAGTTAGAGTGTAAGAATACAGAAATGCTCTTAATACTTGGGGAGTTAGCCTCCACCCAGACAGAGCTTCATAGGATGCAGATATTTAGATTATGAGCAAAAATAAACCTGAAAGAGCAATTCCTCAAGTCAGATCCCAAGTAGCTAACCGGGCCTAAATTTTAAACAGAGCCAAGGGCTATCTGCTCACTAGAGGTCACACCTGCTCTCACTCAGCCACACGCCTTTCGGATTGCCACAGTTTACCAGAATTGACCAATCAGAGCTCATCTGAACTAACCAATCAGAACTCATCTGCTTTAACCAATCAGGGCTCAGCTGTATCACCCAATCTGAACTGAGCAAGTTTGACTCTTTGATTTGCATAAACACATCTCACTGGAAACCCGGGCAAGGACTTTTCTATAAAAGCCAAATCCTCCCCTTATTCTCCGGAATCACCTTGCTTTTACCCTGGAGGCTGTGCTGTATCTCCCTGGTTTGCAAACTCTTCGCTGGGATGAAGTCTCCTTCCTCCAAATTTCTTTTCAGAGAACTTTTGTTCACAAGATAGGACCAGGTGACTCGCTGACATTTAGTCTTCTTACCCACAGAAACCGCAGTTTCATATTAATCATTTCAACATACTTTAGTGAGATCTTCAGAATTCAGGATCTGTTCTCAGCTTTGCAGGTCCTGAAACTGGTTTTGATCGTGTAATCAGAGGTGGTCAGTTCTTTGGTAACTTGCAATAATTACTCACAAAGTTAGAGATACTGCAGGATGTTGATGTGGGGATTCCAGTGGGGGTGGTGGGCACTTCCTTCCCTTGATTTGAATACTATTGTTTTATGCAGAGCAACTGTTTCCAGTTTCATTCTTTGAGAACTTAAGATTTTGTTGAATTATTCACAAGGAGTTTATTAAATTCCTGCTATAATATGCCAGGATCTGTGTTAGACATTAGGGAAATAAGGAATAGAAGACACATTTTGATCAGAAAACTGCCAGGTACCATAGAAGAAGAACGAAGAAAAGTGACTGCTCTGAGGGTTGGTCATTGAAGACCTGGGAAAGGCTGGTGACATTGGTCGATCCTACAAGATCAACTTTCTGGTGTCTGAATGCCACTGTCACTATATTTTACATCTTACACTCTGTAGAAGAGCAGTCCCAAAACCATGGCAAATGTTCTCTGAAACTTCTCTACTCAGCTCCACACAAATCATCCTTCTCCCTTAAATATTTATCAGGACAGGGTTTGAGGAAATTGTTTAGATTTCACCATATATATATATATATATATATATATATATATATATATATATATGAAATCAGACTCCAGATCTCCCTCTCTGAGAAGATTCCTATAACTTGACTGGAGCAAAGTGTTACTCAAACTTCTTCAACCATGGATTTGCAAAACAAATATTCTTTTGGAGAACTTCCTCAAAGATTATTTCCAAAACCTGTGTGATGACACCAATCATTTTGCAGGTTGATATTAAATATATTCAACAATCAATAAACTAATGTAAATTATAATGTAAATCAATAATTTTAAAATCTAGTTTCTTTCATTGTCTAAGTAAATTAAACTATTTTTGCAAAACTGCTTACCAGGTTTATATGTATGTATATATATATGTGTGTGTGTGTGTGTGTATGTATAAAAGAGTACAAAGTATTCATCAAAATATTCTATTAATTTCCAAATTATTTGCCATCGCTATCACTAGGTAAATTATTTTACTTTGGTCTGTAGGCTCCCACAGAAGAATGTAGTAAATTTGCGAACAATGACTTCCCATTAGAAAACTAGTAGCCTTAATAACTAGAGAACTTCTCTTTGCATCAACGTTTTTCTTTTTGGTCTGAATTTTCTCATAGCTTCTCATGAAGTAACAGCAATTACATTCAGGAGAGTGAATGTACGTGTGTGTGCATATACATATATTTATATAAAGAATGTTATAATAAAGTCTGAAATTTTAAAAAATATATTTTATATATCCACCATTGATTAATTTATAAAACTGTTAATTAGACTGTAATTTTTAATTGGGTCAAACATAATTGTTTCTGCCAAACGAAAGAGAGTGTAGTTCAATGGTTAAGTATGTGGACTACATGGTCATTCTGACAAGCGGAAGCGTACTTACAGGCACAGTAGGGCAGAATATTTGAAATCAGCTTTGTCATCCCTTAAAATCTATCACTGTGCGTATGTGTACTGTGGGGAGAGGTTGTTTCATTTGTTGCCTCTATCTATCTGTCTATCTATCTATCTGTCAATCAATCAATCAATCAATCAATATCTATGAATCATTTATTTACCATGTTGGTTTACTCTTAGGTATTCCAATGAGGAAAATTCCAAAATGTAGCTTTTGAGCTTAAAGAAGAAGAATGAAACTCGAGATTAAATATGTGTGGCCAGAGAAGGTGCTATTAATCCAAAGTAGACTGTGATTCATTTTTCTTAATGCTTAGACTATCTTTCTAGAGACATTGCAGGGCTAAAAAACTGACTTATATTAGCCGTGGGAGAGGCGAATAGAGGAGGAGGGAGAAAGGGGTTTCCATGCAATGGTCAGAGACAGAGAGGATGGCAGAGGACAGTGACCTGGCTGTGGTGGTGAGGCTGCCAACAAAGAGTTACCAAAGAGAATTTCGGAAATGTCAGAGTGCCAGGATGTCAATCAAAATTATTGCTCAGAGTCAGATAATTTGTTTTTAACTTTTTTTTTTTTTTTTTTTTTTTTTGCTTAGAAGGTTTTGTTTCATTACTTAGACAGTGAATTGACTGGCTCACATTGAAAAATACTTACAAAAGGAACTTCTTTATTTTTATTTTTTGAGACAGAGTTTCGCTCTCATTGCCCAGGCTGGAGTGCAATGGCGTGGCCTTGGCTTGCTGCAACCTTTGCTTCTCAGGTTCAAGTGATTCTCCTGCCTTATCCTCCACAGTAGCTGGGATTATATGCATCCACTACCATGACCGGCTAATTTTTTGTGTTTTTAGTGGAGACGGGGTTTCACCATGTTGGTCAGGCTGGTCTTGAACTTCTGACCTCAGGTGATCTGTCTGCCTCAGCTTCCCAAAGTGCTGGGATTACAGGTGTGAGCCACCGTGCCTGGCCAAGAAAGAACATCGAACAAGGAAATTCTGAGTGTAAATACCACACTTTTGTCACTTGGACATTTTTTCATTCTCAGGACCTAAGGTGGGCACCAAGTATGTCAGAGCCAGTAGTTTGTGTGTGTGTGTATGTGATTTATTTCAATGAATAGGTTAGTGTGAGTGTGGGGCTGCAAGGTCTGGAAGCAGTAGGGCAGGCTGGCAGGCTGGCAGGCTGGAAACTCCTGGTAACAGCTAAGGCTGAAACTGAGGGTGTCATGAAATTTCTTCCTCAGCGAAATCTTCATTTTCCTCTTATCATCTTTCAACTGATTGGATGAGGCCCATTCACTAATGTGATGTCCTTTACTTAAAGTCAAAGTTGACTGGAGACGCTCACCACACCTCCACAATGCTTGTGTAGCAATACCCAGATTGTGTTAGATTGGGTAACTGGGTGCCACAGCCTAGCCAAGTTGACACAAAAAAACTATCACCCCAGAAGGCCTCTTCAGACTTGAAATTCTAGTTATTATCACTTGAGGAAGGTTTTCGATTAAAGACTTATTCTTTCAAAAAAAAAAAAAGGAATTACTAAAAGATAACATGCATTCTTAAAATTATACTACAAAAGAGATTTTTCTAGTTTACTTCTAATTCCTGTGTAAATCTAAGTTAATTATAGCCCCAAGTAAGGTTGACAACTTTCAAAAGTCAATGAGAGATACTGAGTGCACCAGTGGACTAGAAATGAGATACCCAAATTACCTGATTTTTCCCTCATCTTGTTCCAAACTGAAAATATCTGGGACCAATGAAAGAACATTTGATACAGCAACAACATAAATGTCATTCTGATTTTATAAAATGGAACTGGCTTATTTTTTCCTTTTACTATATGGAACTACCAGGATGCTAAACATTGAGGGAGTTATTGACAGAGACAGATAGGATTGACTTTGTGAAGATCAAAATGAGAGGAAGCATAATGTATAAGTTCAGGAGAAAACAGCTGGAGAACACTGCAAGGTGTTCTCAAAGTCATAAGGAAGAATTGGTAGAAACCAAGATTCTTGAATAACAGACATTTTATTTTGATTACTGAATAATAAAACTTACTGTGCTAAAATAACATGTCATCAATTCAACAGAAGATCAGGAAGAAAAGAGAACTTAGAAAAGGGAGACAAGCAGAAAGCACAAAATAAAATCATACTCTACATCTAAACCCAACTATATTAGTTACTGTATTAAATGTAATGAACTGAATTCTCCAATTCAAATACAAAAATAGAAAAAGAATTCAATTACATCATGCATACAAAGAACACATCCCAAATATGAGAATATGGAAAGGTTTTAAATTTCTAAGAATGTAAAAAGATGGGAAAACACCATCATTCAAATGTGAACCACAAAGCCTCTATTAAAGTAGTAATATTAATATTTGATCATAAAAATTTTAAGGTAAAAATTATTAATGTAGCTAAAGAGGATCATTTAAAAATAAAAAAATTTAAAGTTTTTGAAAATCTAATAATTTAAAATTTATATGCTTTTCAGAACACAGCCTCAAAATATATAAAGCGAAAATTGACAGAAAAAAAAATAATGGCCAAATTCAAATTATAATGAAAAATTTTAACACATCTTTTGAAATAATCGATACTCAAATTTGGACTACGCAATATAGCTGTTTGACTTAATAGATAGATTGATTGAATGATCGATGTACCTAAACGCTGCATCCAGCAAATGCAGCATGTGCATTCTTTTCAATGCTCATGGAACATTTTCAAAAATTGACTGTATAGTAGAATATAAAGGAAGTTTTAGCAAATATGTAAGAAGAAAAATCAGTTAAGATGTGTTATCTGATCCTAGTGCAATTAATAAAAAGTAACATAAGTATATATTATGCATGATAAAAGTTCAAGAAATAATAACAATAAAAACATGGAAAATTCCTCTATGTTTGGATGTGGTGGTAGCTGAGGGGCATGAACAGGGCATATAGAAGTAAAAAGGACACCGTCTTGGTTTACTCCATGTATTCAGGGATTGTTTAAATTTGTTTGAGAAGATATTCACATAGTGCTCATGCCGTAGAAAAAGCTGCTTTACTGTTGTAGCAAATTTTACTCATAATCTTTCCTGTTTCCATGCCAATGCTAAATAAATTCTTAACCCAAAAGGGGATTTTTAAAAGACACATGTTCTTTTCAACGTAAGTATAAGTTGGAGGCAGATTTGGATAAGCTCTCAGTAGTTCATCTGTAATTGTGAGCAAACTTTATCCCAGATTGTTCAGGCCCAACTTAGCTACTCCGAGACCAGATGACTAAAAAACTAAAAAGAAGCTGTTCTGCTTTAAGTGAAGAAAGCTCCAGCCCTCAGGTGGAGCTATTTCCGGGCCCTGTGATAAAGCTCAGCTGGGAGGCTCCTCAGTCATTACTACAGCGCAGGAGGGCCCGTGCTCATCAGCATGGTAAGTGGCTACACGCCTGTGATTGTTCTAGGAAATTTTACTCATCATATTTGGGCCTATTCCCACAGCAAACAATTCTTGATAAAATTGTAATGCCGGACAAGAAATTTGTAAAGAAACGTTTGTTTCAACATCCATGTAGATGCGTTGGGAGCAGATGTGGACAGGCTGTAATCTGTTCCTCTGCAGCGTTGCTTCTTTCAAGGTAAAGCTCAGTTGATTTGTAGTGTTTCACTGCCATTAATTGAAGCACTGAAGCAAAAAATCCCTCCTTCTTTTAGTTTTCACCTTTGTTTCAGGCACAGAGTGCTGATTTTTCTTTAATAATTGCTTCACCTTCATTATGCTGTTAAGAGTTTCTGAGGACTTCAGACTTAGGTAACCATTGCTAGCCTCATAAATGCCTGGCAGGATAAAGTGCACAGACATCTTCTTTTCCTTCCTTGAGTTTAGTTCTTTGGCACCACAATGACTAGAATAACTTACAATAATTCTGTTTGGGGACTACCTTTCAGATCTACTTCTCCTTTATTTTCTTCTGTGCTAGTTTCTCAGTATCTTCAAATTTCTATTTCTTCAATGGAAGCAACATTTCAAACTGCTTCATCTTTGATTTCTCACCCCATTGGCCTCTCTGTCCAACCTTTTAAAAATCTTTAAATTGTTTTGCTTTCAAAAATCATGCCTTTCAACATGAGAGAGACTTGTGATAACAGCATATTCTGTATCTTGACTATCAATGTCAGCGTTCTGGGTGTGATTTTGTATTACAGTCTTGCAAGATATTTCTGCTGGGGGAAATGAGTAGGGGATACAAGGGATCTTCCTACAAGATCTCAACGGTTAATGCTGAGATCTCTGTAGATTGATAGGCAGTTACTCCTTAAAACTGTGTGTCAGTCTACAGAGAGCTCAACATTAACAGTTTAATTCAGAGTTAAACTTTTCTAGTAATTCAAATAATCCTTATAGCAGCATTTAATAATGTACTGTGACCTATCGGTTCTGACATTCAGTGGGCATTTAATCATCTTCTGTTTTATAGTGTGACTAATATTTTAATAGAGAATTTGGGAAAAAGGGAGAGGCTTAAGAGAAGAGTAAGATGCAGATAGTCTTCTATAACCTTGGACAGAGTTATGTTACAAGCTAAGCTCCTTAAGAGAAGAATAAGGTGAAGATAGTCTTCTATACTCTTGGACAGAGGATGCTGGTTAGGCCAGGCTATTCATACTGAGTTCAAAAAGAACAGCATCACTCTGCTTTCTGAGTTGCTTGAACAGACCATGTGAAGAGGGACAATCTTTTTTCAATGTTAGTGATTATTTTTACTGTGAATATTGTGAACAAATACCACATGTACACCTGAATTTTCCTTGTCACTGTAGCACAGGACTGGGTGGTAGCCAGTGGAGAAGGCAGAGAAATCTACACGTAAACTTTACAAAGTAAGAGGTTTTAATGATGTAGAAACAATGTATCACCCTCTTTTTTTAAAAAAAATTTTAAAAATTGAGAGCCAAGTTTTGATCAGATTACAGCAGCTAATGTATTTACAGCACTTTAAGTTCTACAGAGGGGAGAGGAATAAGACTAAGGTTATCTGAAGCCTGGTAAGGGTATATGAAACCTGTTCAGAACAGAATGTGCTGTTCTGAGAGGTGGAATATTAGTTGGTCCTAAGCAAAGTGCTTTCTAAATTAAGTTAATTAAGTTCGATGCCTTTGTCAGAAGAGACTGTTAGTTGCTCAGAAAAGAAACAAGATGGAAGCCCTACTAAGTTAGTGAACTTGAATTGGTCATGAAGCAAAGAGGGCTGTGTTATGCCTTGTGAATTACAAAGTACAAAGGTTTGATGCCATTGAACATGAGCAGAGTCCAAGTCAGATTGCAGGGGTGTGGCTGGCTAGAGCCCTGTCCCTGCTTCCCTCTGACTAGTTAGGTCTCTGTGGACCAGTGGTCCTCAATCTTTTTGGCACCAGGAACCAGTCTCGTGGAACACAATTTTTCCATGGCGTCGGTGGTGGGGGATGGTTTCTGGGTGAAACTGTTCCGCCTCAGATCATCAGGCATTAGTTAGATTCTCATAAGCACACAACCTAGATCCCTTGCATGCACAGTTCACAGCAGGTTTAGTGCTCCTGTGGGAATCTAATGCGGCTGCTAGTCTGACGGGAGACAGAGCTCAGCCAGTGATGCTCACTCACCTGCCATTCACCTTCTGCTGAGAAGCCTGGGGATTGGGGACCCCTGTATGGACCACAGCTCAGGAGGCCTGAGGTATTTCAGTAGCAGAATCTCAGGCTTTGAGGCAGTGTAGACATGAACAAGGGAAGGGGTTCCCCTCAGCTTCTCTGTTCGAACAGCTCACAGGGTCCTGATGATGCAGAAGACCGGAGGGTCTCCCTCTACAAGACTGTTTCAGTGCCACTATCAATCAAACCACAGCAATATTAAGATCAGAGATTGCTATCACCTTAGACTTTTTAGAATTTAGCTTTTTCTTTCCCTCTCTTAAAAGAATAGATCATTGTCTGTTTAAATTAACAGAATAGTTGTTTGCCTTTTAAAAAAGATGATTTAAAAGTGGGATGGGGGAGTGTGAATGCTGATGAAGGTGGAAGAAATAGCAAAGTTTAGATAAGAAAATAAAATCACTACCCAAATATAACTAGACTTAATATCTTGATGCATTTTTCTTTTAGATTTTTTATGCCTATTTTTGAAGATATTTGACATTATCCTCTATATACAATTATGTATCTTATATGCTTTTTACTTAATATGTTATCATAAGTATTTCCCATGTCATAAATCTTTTTTTTTGGGTGAACATTTAAGGGCTGCATAACATGCTATTGCATTGATCTACCATTCTTTAAATGCCCAGCAATCTGTGAATGGTTAGATTAAGCAGATTGGTTTTGGTTTTCATGCTTATGAATTATGAAGCTGTGAATGCCATCAGCCTGCATCTTTGCATTTTAGAGTCTTTTCTTTAGTAATTTGTTTATGTCATTTGCCTATCTAGTGTATGTCTCAAGTGTTTTTTTTAGAAAGTTGATACATATAAAATCAGTTTTTATCTCTGTATATTTGTTATAAAGCTTTTACATTTTGGAGTTGTTAAAAATATTGCATTTTGCCTTTAAAATTTCCCACTAGTTTTAAGTTTAGTATATATATCCATCCTTATTCAGAGAGCACATGAATGGGAAAGATAACATTTTAAATTTATCTGCAATGAGGTTTAGTACCTGACAAGGCGCTATATTGATTTTGGTTTTCTTTCTTTCCAATAACTAGCTAATTTTCTTTCTAGGCAAGTCCAGCTGATATATGTAACTACACACACACACACATACACACACACACGCACCTCATCTATATTAGAATAAAGTGAAAGCAGTTGTATTTTGATTTGCCTTTTGTCTGTGTGTATTTGTCTTAATTCCAAGCTTAGTGCAGAGTAGGTGCTTAATTTATATTGTTAAACATTTTAATGGAATTTAAATCCCTATTTAATTTTCTCTGATGCTTAGCTGTGCTCTAGCTCTTCATTTCCATGAAACACTTTTGATTATCCTTATTACACATTCCTCTGTGTCCTTAAGTGATCTTGGTTTCTGCCATTTGTAACCGGAAGTGCTGACTAGCAGATCTCCTGTTGTCTAAACACCTGCTCAGTTCCAACTCCCCGTGGCTTATTTCAGAGGGAGTGCCTTTCCATCCACATCGGTCAAGCTGGCATCCAGATTGGGGATGCTTGCTGGGAACTCTATTGCCTGGAACATGGAATCCAGCCAGATGGAGTTGTTCTTGACAGTCAACAGAATCAGCCAGAAAATGCGAAAACGGAGCACACAAATGCATCTTTCGATACCTTCTTCCAGGAGATCAGAGCTGGGAAGCATGTGCCTAGAGCGCTCTTCATGGACTTGGAGCCAACTGTCATAGGTACCACAAACGTCACATTCTGGTATACTTAACTGGAGCCACACTCGAACAAATCAAGTGGGTGGGATGATCAGATTATACGGGTTCATCTGAATGAAATCACATGGACCTTTCCCAAATGTAGAGGCTTACTCAATGGCCATTTAGGGTAATTAACATGACAATCACACCTAAAGGGAAGACTAGGTTAACCTTTATCAATTTTAATTTTAATCGATTAATTAATTAGTTTTGACACAGAGTCACTCAGGCTGGAGTGCACTGGTGCAATCTCGGCTCACTGTAACCTCCTCCTCCTGGGTTCAAGCGATTCTCCTGCCTCAGCCTCCGAGTAGCTGAGATTACAGGCATGCACCATCATGCCTGGCTAATTTTTGTATTTTTGGTAGAGATGGGGTTTCACCATGTTGGCCAGCCTGGTCTTGAATTCCTGACCTCAAGTGACCTACCTGCCTTGGCCTCCCAAAGTATTGGGATTACAGGCGTGAGCCACTGCACTTGGCCTAGGTTGGCCTTCTTTACCTATGTGATGAAATGAATTAAGACCTGCTCATTGATCCACACATGGATTTAAAGAGAACACTAAGTCTTTTCTTGGGTTCAAGAGCAATTTGCTAGAAGGCACTGGCAAAGAATCGTTTTTCAATAGTACTTAAAGAGAGTTGAATATTTGAAAAGGATCCCAAAGAACAAGAATATACAAATATATACTCCAGTTATGGGGAAAACAGCACCATTTTATGATTACTAATTATGGACTTCATAATATGTCATACCAAAACTCTTAAAATGGAGCTAGAAAAATACAGGAGAAAGAGGGGCTCTTACTGACTTAAGAGAAAAGCTGGAGAGTGGGGTAGATTTGCATTTCCTGTTGTACATAATATGTTGGTGTGTAATAAACTTCGCCTACACTTAGCGGTTTTTTATTTTTTACTTTTTGAGATGGAGTTTCACTCTTGTTGCCCAGGCTGGAGTGCAGTGATGCAGTCTTGGCTCACTGCAAGTTCCACCTCCTGGGTACAAGAGATTCTCCTGCCTCAGCCTCCCCAGTAGCTGTGATTACAGGCACCTGCCACTACACACAGCTAATTTTTTTTTTTTTTTTTTTTTTTTTTTTTTTGTATTTTTAGTAGAGATAGGGTATCACCATGTTGGCCAGGCTGGTCTTGAACTCCTGACCTCAGTTGATCCGCCCGCCTCAGCGTCCTGAAGTGCTGGGATTACAGGCATGAGCCACTGTGCCTGGCTTTACATTTAGTGATGTAAGGCAATAATAATTACTGGTTTGAATCTACAATTTGGGTGTAGCTCAGAGGCAATAGCTCCCCTCTGCTCTGTGTAGTACTAGCTAGGAAGGCTCGAGTGGGAGCTGGGGCATCACTTTGAAAGTCACTCATTTACATCGCTGGCCCTTGGGTGCTGGCTGTTGGCTGAGAGGTAGTGGGAGGGGTGGAGAAAAGGAGAGGCTGATGAATTCAAGGTCATGATAAGAGGGAATTGAATACAACCCCATAAACACTTCAGCTGGGTGACGCGAGTACAAAGATGAATAACTGCTGATTTTTGCCCTTGATGTGAAGATGCCTTTCTTGGTCAGCTTGGACGGCTGTATGAGAACACCATGGATTCAGTGGCTTAGACCACAGTTGTTGATTTCTCACAGTTCTGGAGGCTGAAAGTGTGAGACCAGGGTGCCTGGTGTTTGGCTTCTGGTGAAGTCTGTCTTCCTGGCTTGCAGATGGCTGCCTTTTCACTGTATCCCCATGTGGCAGAGAAACAGCCTGTGTCTCTTCTTATAAGGGCCCTAATTCCACAATGAAGTCTTTACCCTTATGACCTAGTTACCCACAAAGACTCACCTTCAGAGACCATGGCATTGGGGATTAGGGATTCAACACATGAATTTTGGGGGGACACAGCCATTTAGTCCACAGCAGCTATTCTTTACTAGTTGAGGACCTGCCCAGGTACGTTCCTCTAATTCTTTCAGCACTCTGTCAGGAGACACTATTATCCTTAATTAATAGATGCGGAATTTCAGAAATCTTGGGGAGGTCAAGGAACTTCTTAAGATCACTGAGCTAGTAGAGTAGAGCTGGGTTTGGTCCCAGGCTTGCTTTCTTATTAAATCTATTGCCTTTTGACAGAAAAGTAGCCTAATCTAGTGAAGAAGAAAATATAAATAGTTATAACAACACTGTTTCAGGGAGTCATATAAAATTGCCAGTGTATGACTATTTTTTAATCTAAAAAATTAATTTTATTATGTATGATATAACTTAATAGAACTTTCTAGAACAGGAATGTCCAATAATTTGGCCTCCCTTGGGCCACATTGGAAGAAGAAGAATTGTTTTGGGCCACACATAAAATATACTCACACTAACAATAGCTGATGAGCTAAAACAAAAATTGCAAAACAATCTCATATTGTTTTAAGAACGTTTACGAATTAGTATGGGGCTGCATTCAGAGCTGTCCTGGGCTGCATGAGGCCTGTGGGCTTTGGGTTAGATAAGCTTGCTCTGCAAGGCAGAAGGCATGAATAAACAGGGAGTCATCAAATATGTTTGCTTGTTTGTTTTTTAGAGAGAGAGATGAAGTCTCGCTCTGTCACCCAGGCTGGAGTGCAGTGGTATAATCATAGGTCAGAGAGCTCCTGGGCTCAACAGTCCTCCCACCTTGGGCTCCTGAGTAGCTGGGACTACAGACACATGTCGCTACATGTGGCTAATTTTTTTTTTTTTTTTTTTTGAGACAGAGTTTTGCTCTTTTTGCCCAGGCTGGAGTGCAATGGCGTGATCTTGGCTCACTGCAACCTCTGCCTCCCAGGTTCGAGAGATTCTCCTGCCTCAGCCTCCTGAGTAGCTGGGATTACAGGCACATGACAGGCCCAGCTAATTGTATTTTTAGTAGATATGGGGTTTCACTATATTGGCTAGGCTGATCCTGAACTCCTGACCTCCAGTAATCCACCCGTCTTGGCCTCCCAAAGTGCTAGGATTATAGCCGTGAGCCACGAAGCCTGGCCAATTTTTTTTTTTTTTTTTTTTGCTAGAGATAGGGTCTCACTATATTGCCGAAGCTAGTTGCAAATTTCTGATTTCAAGTGATCCTCTTACCTTGGGCTCCCAAAGTGCTGGGATTCCAGGCATGGGCCACCACACCCAGCCTCACACACCCTCTCATGAAGGAACAGCATTTGCAGATTCAGAGCCATGAAGGAATGCCACAAGTGTAACCAGTTGACCATGGCCAGACACAGGTAAGCAGGAGCGCAAATCGGGGCATGAGGCTGGGAAGATGGTCCAGGGCACGCTCAAGGGTGAAGTTAGGGCAAAGTAAGGAAGTTGTGGTCGGAGAAAGGAATTTGCGAGTTTAAGATTTTGGAAGTAGGAGAGTTCTGAGTGATGATGACTGAAGTGGAGGGCAACTGAACGACACTGTAGTTAAGGAAGCTAAGGAGCTGTCATATAATTGTTCAAAACCATTGAAGTCTCTGAGGATATTAAGAGCACCATGCTGGGTACTGAAGCCTCTGGGAAATCTGTGCCCAGGAAGTTCGAATGGAAGGCTTGGTTACTTATGAACGGCACGTGCAACCACTAACCTCTGAGAAAATGGATTTTATGGAATAAAACGTATGAACTTATTGACCCTCAAGATTCCGATTCAACTTTGTCATGAAGAAGCAAGCTTCTGTAAATTAGCTCCCCAGTCGGAATTTAGCCTTATAGCTTCAGATGAGAAGGAAATAGTCCACACAGAATTACACGTTCACTTATAGCTCATTTATAAATATATCTTTTAAACATCCTAGCTCTGGGGGAGGTTTGTATGTAAGCTAGTTAAACGTTATTTAAACTCAAATTTAATAAATATTATTTGAGAGGTTGCAAAATTGGAGTTTAGAAATTCATGCACAGGAAGGCGCGGCGAATTGAAAGAACAGCCTTGCTCTGATTAAATAGAAACACAATGTGTCTCTCCTTAGGCTGTGAGCTTCTAGGACTGGCTCGGCTATCTGGTGCCAAGGCTGTGGTGTATAATGAGGTAAATCTGCATAAATGCATGTCATGAAGCCAGTTCCGTCATTCTTCCTTATAATTGTTGTTGTTATATGGGCCATGCGTTGCGCCTTATGTTCTCCTAACAGCTCAATGGGGTAGGTCTTGTTATAATCCTTATTTATGAGCTAAAATCATTGACTAAGTAACTTCTCTCTAGCTTAGTGAGGAAGGCAAGATAGGAACCCAGGAAACTGATTCTTGAAACATGCATTTAACTACTAAGCAATGCAGTATCCCGCGGTAACCAGGGCAGCGGTCCCAAAGCCTACTTAGCCCTGAAACACTGCTGCTTAATCATCAGGAATAATGCTATTTGAGTAATTCTAAGGTGGGGATTAGGGCATGCTGCCCAGGGTTTTAAAAGGCAATGAGACCTGGCAAGGGTTGCCCTCAGTTGTACTGGATACTGCCAACATCTTAACACCAATTTCCCTGCGTCATGCATTTATGCCCATGGCATTTGGGTCGTGTGGGCATTTGAGTTTGCTGTGCCGTCCCTGTTAAATCCTCTTTTAAAGTAGATTTAAAAGATGGATATGCCTTTCATTTTTAAAACTTATTTTATTTTATTTTGCTTTTATTGAGAAGGAGTTTCACTTTTGTCGCCCCGGCTGGAGTGCAATGGGGTGGTCTCTCACTGCGACCTCCGCTCCACAGGTTCAAGCCATTCTCCTGCCTCAGCCTCCCGAGTAGCTGGGATTACAGGTGCCCACCACCATGCCTGGCTGATTTCCAATATTTTTAGTAGAGACAGAGTTTCACCATGTTGGCCAGGCTGGTCTCAAACTCCTGCCCTCAGGTGATCCACCTGCCTCAGCCTCCCAAAGTGCTGGGATTACAGGCATGAGTCACTGTACCCTGGATATGCCTTTCTGTGTGATTTTCCAGCACGCAGTTGGCTATTTGTAGATAAAAATACTTGTCTCAAAATGCCAATGTGTGGTAGGGTGAGCAGTGGGTTGAAGAGTGTCCCCCCAAATTCATATCCATCTGGAACCCCAGAATGTGACTTTATTTCGAGACAGGGTCTTTGTCGATGTGATTGGTTAAAATGAGTCCTCCTGGATTAGGGATTACTAATGTTGAAGAATTGTGTCCTTATTAGAAGAGAGGGCACAGGCACACATCCAGGGGAAAAGCTTATGTGCCAGAGGTAGAGTCTGGAAGGGGCAGCTAGAAGCCAAGGAGAGCTAAGAATTGTGAGTCACCAGGAGCCAGGAGAGACATTTGGACTGGGCTCCCCGGGGCCTCCAGCAGGAACCAGCCTCCCAGCGCCTCAGTGTTACACTTCTGGCCTCCGGAGCTGTTAGGAAATAAATTCCTCTTGTCTTAAGCCACGCCGTTTGCTGTCATTGGTTATGACAGACCTGGGAAACTAACCAGGGATGCATGGTGGAAAAACATACTTTCCATGTGTATGTAAAGAATTCCACCCTTTCCTGGACTAAGAAAGGCGAATTCAGCACCATCTGAATTCCATTCCTGGACCACAGCATTGAGAGAAAGCATGGGGGTCATCAGGCCCAGGGAGGGCCCAGGAGGACTAGCAGAAGGTGGACGGCTGAATTGCACTGACTGCCCTGACCTCCTTTCGCCCTCTGCAGATGGGATCCGGACGGGGCCGCGCCGTTCACTCTTCCACCCCGAGCTGCTCCTGAGCGGAAAGGAGGATGCCGCCAGCAACTACGCACGGGGTCGTTACTCTGTGGGGTCGGAGGTCATCGACCTTGTGCTGGAGAGGACCCGGAAGCTGGCAAGTGGCTCCCCTGCTCCTCCGAGGGGGCTGTGCCTGGGGCATGTGGGGTCCTGTGGCAGGACTCACCAGCATTATCTGCTGTCACCATTGCCACCAACCCTCTCTCCCTGGGTGTTGGCCTGGGTGCTCAGAACTGGGGAGGGGTCCTCGTCTTGCCTTTGATTACCCCTTGTTAGTAGGAAGGGGACAGAAATCTTTACTCTTACTCGGGGTCCTCTGCTCACCTGATCATCCTTGCTTCTCCTAACACAGGGTTTATCTTGTAATGAGAGACTCTCACACACTCTAAAACCTGTCACTTTCCAAGAGTAACTGCTGCTCATGAAGTTAGCAAGAGGCATGCCCTACCTGGAGTTGCGTGACTGTTTACTGACAGTCAACTCCTCTTTAAGGGCCTGAGTCTGGAGGCCCTTTGCTGAGTAAGGGTTTTGGTGTTTGGCATATCTGTTTGCTCCTACAACGCCTTTTACGCCAGCATGCCAGACGGAGCATAGAAGTTGGGGGAAGGTTACTTTGCTCCAGTGTTTTGTCATTTTCTTTGCTATTGATAAAGGTCTTGCTTGCGATCACATACACATAGACGCACAGGGGTCAGTAAAAGACAGGCAGCTATTTGTGCTCCGCTTGTAGAAAAGCTCTGGAGTGCTCTGCCTACTCCAGAAGTACCCCGAGAGTGTTTTGAAACAGCTGTTTGTTGTGGAGTTAACAATGGCAAATGAGTCCTTTCTGAAAGTCTGTGTTTCGGGGAAACGTGTTGTATCCTATCGCCACCGTCCAGTTCACTGCTTCTGGATTTGTTCAGCTGAATGCTCACATCATGTTTACTTTCTTCAGGCAGAACAGTGTGGTGAACTTCAGGGATTTTTGATTTTCCGAAGCTTTGGAGGGGGCACTGGTTCGGGGTTTACATCTCTTTTAATGGAGCGGCTCACAGGAGAATATAGCAAAAAGACGAAATTGGAGTTCTCGGTCTACCCAGCTCCCAGGGTCTCTACTGCTGTGGTGGAGCCGTATAACTCTGTCCTCACCACTCACTCCACCACAGAGCACGCGGACTGTACCTTTATGGTGGACAACGAGGCCGTCTATGATATATGCCATCATAAACTCGGTGTCGAACGCCCCTCTTACACCAGCATCAATAGACTGATGGTTCAGGCAGTATCTTCCATCACTGCGTCCCTCCGGTTTGAAGGGCCCTTGAATGTGGACCTAATTGAATTCCAGACCAACCTAGTCCCTTACCCGAGAATACATTTCCCCATCACCACCTTTGCCCCCATCGTCTCTGCTGACAAAGCCTACCATGAGCGGTTCTCCGTGTCAGACATCACTGCTGCTTGCTTTGAGTCGTCCAACCAGCTGGTCAAGTGTGACCCTCGGCGTGGGAAGTACATGGCCTGCTGCCTACTCTACAGAGGGGATGTGGTCCCTAGGGAAGCGAATGCAGCCATTGCAGCCATGAAGGCGAGGCACTCTGTTCAGTTTGTAGATTGGTGTCCAACGGGTTTCAAGGTGGGCATCAACAATCGGCTGCCCACAGTGATGCCAGGTGGGGACCTGGCCAAAGCCCACCAGGCCCTCTGCATGCTGAGCAACACCACAGCGATTGTGGAGGCCTGGGCCCGCCTGGACCACAAGTTTGACCTCATGTACGCCAAGAGGGCATTTTTGCACTGGTACATCAGAGAAGGCATGGAAGAAGCAGAATTCTTGGAGGCCAGGGAAGACCTGGCGGCCCTGGAGAGGGATTATGAGGAAGCGGGGCAGAGTTTCTGATGCATGTGTGACAGGTGCGAAGGAACGCCAAGCTACAACGGCATGCTTTGTTTTCAAGCTGTTGTATGCCTAGTGGATAATTCCCCTGATGAGAAAAAAAACGAAATCTAATCAGGCAAGACTCTAGGTTCCACATGAAATTAAGTGGGTCAGTACCAACCACGGACACATTATTTCTGGGTCTACTGGTGCTAGTCAACTCTGTTCCCAGGGAGCCTTCGGAAGCTTAGAGTCCTTTGAACTGCTGGGTCACTTCTAAGTGGGGTTTTTTGTTTAACTAAGAGACTATGAAACCCTGAAGTTTATGCTTTTCCTTTCTGGTACCTGAAGTATGAAACAGCGCATGTTGATTACAAATGTTTTTCCCCTATATTTTTATACCGATTGAATCATAAATATTTTCAGTATGATTCTTTTTCTTCTTTTAAATATGTACCCAAAGGGCTCAGTTTGCTTTTTATGTAAACGAACTAGGGTCTTTCTAAAACTTGAATTTGGGTGTCCTGCAGGTCAGAGGTGAAAGCCATCTCTTCTACTTCCCTGTCCTGGAAGTGGTGTTCTCAAAGTGTCACCAAGCCTAACTGTGCCAGAGTCACTGCAGAAGTTTACTAAAAATGCAGATTGTTGAGCTTCTCTATGGACTTGCTAAGCTGGAATCCTGGGGGCTGGAGAGGCTGTGTCCTAAGGATTTGAGATTTACAAAAACACTCAATGGAATTAAGTTTTTGGTACTGAATAGTTCCATTTGAGAAAATAATTTACTCTGGACAAAGCTATAAGTGCATTAAAACCACTAGCGAGATTTTAAGTAACCGCAATGTTTACTTTCACTGATTGTTGGAATTAAGGCAACGTAGATGCTGCAGAGGTGCTGGGTCGGGCTGAGCTGTTGCTCTTGGACAGCTGGTAGACAATCCTATGAGCCTCATCCTCCTGCGCTGTTTAACTTGTCAGCCCTCGCCCTCTAGCTGTACTGACTCTTGACTTCAACTGGGCACAGGCTTTTGGCTCAGGTAGACGTCGGAAGGTAGGAGACACTAAAGCCTTGGCTGGAGGCATGAAGTTGTGTATCTGTTTTGAGATTCCTCAAACTACAAGGCTACTATCTTTTTGCTTGTGCACTTGGACTCAAAAACTGACTCTGTGTGTGTGTGTGTGTGTGTGTGTGTGTGTGTATGTGTGTAAGATCTATTTTTTAGAGTGTTTACAGGTTCTCAGCAACACTGAGTGGAAAGTATAACCCTCCATTTTTGACAGTCCTTGGGAGATTCTCTTACATACTAAAATCCCTCCCCTGAGATGTGGCCTTTAAGAGTGGTACTCAAACGATGTACCCTTTTGCCTGCTTTCAGTTGAAACCATTCTCACCATAGAAGCCAGTGACCACTGTTTGGTGAAGATGCCATTTAGCCCCTCTACAGTGCCAGAAGGGTGTTTTCCCCCAGCGCAGACAGCTCTCACTGAGGTTTGCTCAGTCCCCAGGTCTCTAAGTGTCTGGCTGTGTCCCCTTTGGACTCCACTCCCAAACATCACGCCGAGGGCTCAGCTTCTGCTTACTCAAAACCTCATTCTGGGGTTCTCTTTGGAGACAGAGCCTGTTAATCAAGGCGTGCCAGGATTCCTGGTGTGGCAACAGGGAAAGGAACATGACTCTCATTCTCATGTCTCTGACTTGCTGTGATCAAACATTTGGAGCAAAAATTACTTTGTCCAAATGAAAGGAATGATTTGGTCAACATTAGTGTTTCTTCACTATATCCAATATAGACTGATGGTGTCTATAGCTGGCTTTTTATTGAAGTGTGAAGAAAACCGTTACTGAGCAAAAGGGCTTGCTGCCTGGCCAACGTGGGTACAATATTTTAATTTCCTGCAGATGTGGTTCCTACTTTAAAGCCCGGTTTGAGTGCACCTGCTTCATGGAGCCTTCCAGGATCTTCTTCCTTGTGTCCTCCCTGAGCTCCCAGAGCCCTGGTCTGTTCCGTCCTAGGGTTTATGGACAGTGGAGTCACACCATGAAATCTATCACTGCACTGAAAATTTGTAGCAAGTACTCATTGACGAAAACAATTTAATTTGTATGTCATACATACTGCCTTACATTTTTATTAGGCTTTTACTAAGTATTTAACATGTATTGGCCAGGAGAGTGGCTCACGCTTGTAACATCAGCATTTTGGGAACCCAAGGCAGGAGTATCACTTGAGCCCAGGAATTCGAGACCAGCCTGGGCAACATAGTGAGACCCTGTCTGTGCTTTAATATATATATATATATATATATATATATATATATATATATATATATAAATAAATGAATATAATACAAAATATGTACACACACTCACACACAGACACACACACACAGACACACAATATGTATATATATATCAGCCAGGTGAGGCATGCACCTTTAGTCTCAACTCCTTGGGAGGCTGAGGTGGGAGGATCACCTGAGCCCAGGAAGTTGAGGCTGCAGTCAGTCATGATTGCACTACTGCACTACACCCTGGGCAACAAAGCAAGACTGTCTCAAAAAAATAAAGTAAAATAGAATAAAATTTATTCTTCAATGTACATGTGCTGTTTCTCCATTCAGCCACTAGGGGACACTAGTGCTTAAATAACGAGTTTTTGGTGCTCTGGGGTTGTGTGTGCGTGTGTGTGTGTGTGTGTGTGTGTGTGTGTGTACATGAGTACTGACACATCGAGAAAAAGACTATATATTTTGTTTTTAAAAGCTAATAATCTACTAAAGATAAGAACCAAAGTATTTCTTAAGCTTTTACGTTCAGCTTGTGAATCTTATTATTTATAAGCCTAGACAATTTGTATAATCAGTTTTAAAGGGAATACACATGAATTTTGGGTCTCCTTTGCAGTCTTAGTTGAATGGTCTTAAATATTTTAGGTTGTCCACAAATTTAATATCTTCTATTTTCTCTTGAGAACGTTGACAAACTTTCCTAAGTCCTGTAAATAATTCTTTACAAATTTAATAAATTGAATTATACCTATGGTGATTAAGTACTCTTAGGTGTTCTGAAACTTTCTACACGTGATTAAGATTTGTACTTAAGTGACAAGCGTACATTTACTGACAACATTTACACTTTTAAAAATCGGAATGACACAGCCGAGTATGGCTGCATTGGGCCAAACACTCTTGGATATGATACATGCTGTATTTGAAATGCCAAGCTGGCACAGCTTCCTTCTCACAGGAGCCCCAGCACATCCTTATTTAATGGATTCACTTACAGTGATTAATTGAGTGCTCGTCACAGTTCCAGGCACGGGGCATGCAGCACTGAACAAAACAGAAACAAGCCCTGCCCTGATGGAGTTTACGTCGCAGTGAAGGTGGGGTTGGGTGGAAGACAGTAAACACAGTAAGTCAGTCAATTATCCTACAGGTTAAAGGTGGCAGGTGCTCTTGGGAAAACGTAGAGGATGGCAAGGGGGAACGGACGGCAGCTTCAAACGAGTGGGCATTGATTGTCGTTTCCAAGGAAAGAAGGCTTTGACAAGGACTTCAAGGGAGTGACAAGGGAGACTGCAGATATTTGAGGGGAAAACTTTCCTGGCAAGAGGAACTGTCAGAGGCGTTCGAACAGGAGCGACTCCATCTTGAGTGAGCGCCGGGAAAACGGGGCTGGCACCTGCTGGGCTGCGCTCCCAGAAAGTTGGGTATTCCCGGCCTCTAGACGTTTATGGCTAAGGGAACAGATGGATGACATTTACTAAACAGATCCCGACTTACTTGGGAGGGTCCTGATATCCCGATGTCTTGAGAACAGAAGCATTTGTAAGTTGGCTTTAAATATAATAATATTGATTCTTGCAAAAGATAGTAATTAAGAGAATTAATCCTTTATCACAAACCCTTGTAGCAGAGGACATCTTCCGTGATTTTTTTAATCCTATATATGAACAAGCATTGTACCCAGGTGGATGCGCTCCTGCTGTCTACGGGGGAACCGCTCCTTCACCACTGCGCTTTCTTAACAAACCCGCTTTCACTTTGCCCCGTGGACTTGCCCTGAATTCTTTTTTGCATGAGATCCAAGAACCCTCTAGTGGGGTCTGGATGGGGAGCCCTTTCCAGCAACAAAACCAGCCATGGAGATTTAGGAAGGGGGGCCACTGAGGCAGAAGGAAACCAGTGCAGTGTCCTGAAAGGCAAGTTGGAGAAAAGCCTACCCAGGAGGAGGGCGTGGGCCTGGTCCCGCGCGTTAAAGGATGGTACTAAGTCCTGCGAGGGAGGGCTGAGGCTTGGCCACTGGATTTAGAGCTGACCTTGACGAGCGGGTTCAGTGGGGTGACAGGGGTGCAGGCCTGACGAGCGGGGGTTGAACGGAGAATGGAAGACGAGAGAGTGCAGAGGCATCCTCCGCGTGCTGCTGTGGGAGGAAGCAGAGTCGTGCTGCCGTCTGGAAGAGGTGACAGGTCCAGAGCTGTCGGCCAGCTGTGGTGGCTCACACGTGTCATCGCAGCACTTTGGGAGCTGGAGGCAGGAGGATCGCTTGATCCCGGGAGTTTGAGGCCAGCCTGGGCAACACAGTGGGACCCTGTCTCCATTTTTATTTTTAAAAAAGTGTTGTTTTTAGCATTGGAGAGAGACAAACGGATTTGCCTGCTAGTGTGAACGACGTGGCGGAGGAGGTGGCGTCGGTGATGTGGGAGGAAGACAGAGGTTGTTGGACCCATGACTTAGGTGGACGAGAGGGGAGGGGACTTCGAGTGTGACACAGGTGGTCCCTGCACAGAAGCACGGACAGGCAGGAAGGCAGAGTGTGTGAGCACAGGCGCTCTCAGGGCGAAGACACGGTGCTAAGGTTTCTGTGAAACGGCGCTTCTGAAATGTTTTCTTAACGAAAAGGGAGTAAAGTCACCAGCTGAGGTCGGAAGGGGAAGGATACCCTAGAGGTCTCAGGAGAGAAGAAAATGAGTGAAAGTCTAAGATAGCAGGAGCAGGACTGTTGGAAGGGAGTGTGGTATAAACTCCGGGCCATCTCAAGAGCCCATCTAAGGAGTCCAGTGAGGATTCTAAGGTGAGATGAGACTGTGTGTGTGTGTGTGTGTGTGTGTGTGTGTGTGTGTTGTGCGTGTATAGTGTGGTGTATGTGTATGATGTGATGTCTGTATATTTGTGATGCATGTGGGTGTGGTATGTGTGTGTGTGGTGTATGGTGTGTGTGTGTGTGTGGTGTGTGATGTGCTGTGTATGTAGTGTGTGTGTGTGTGTGTGTGGTGTGCCTGTATAGTGTAGTGTATGTGGACAATGTGATGTGTGTATATTTGTGATGTATGTGGGTGTGGTGTGTGTGTGTGGTGTATGGTGTGTGTGTGTGGTATGTGTGTGTGTGGTGTGTGATGTGCTGTGTATGTAGTGTGTGTGTGTGTGTGTGTGTGTGTGGTGTGCCTGTATAGTGTAGTGTATGTGTACAATGTGATGTGTGTATATTTGTGATGTATGTGGGTGTGGTATGTGTGTGTGGTGTATGGTGTGTGTGTGGAGTGTGTATGTGTGCGTGGTATGTGGTGTTTTTGTGTGTATGTGGTTTAGTGTGGTGTGTGGTATGTGTGTGTGTGGCGTGTGATGTGTGTGATGTGGTGTGTATGTCATGTGTAGAATCCACCCTGGTGTTTAGACTGGCAAGGAGGGAGGAGAGGTCGGGAAGTAGCAGGAGGGATGGTGAAAAGGTGGCAGGACCCGTGGATTACTGGCATCAGTGGGGCTGAGAGATGACTGGAGTTGCTGTCCTAGGAAGGCGAAGCTGGAAAGACAGGCCATGGCGGTCAGAAAGTTTGTGACTTGTAATGACAAAGTCATGGGAGTGAGTGGCGAGGCAGGGTGCGGGTCAGGGTCGTGGGAGTGGAAATGTTTAAGGAACTGAGGGGTCAGGGTGTAGGAGAGGTCGGTCATCTACACGTGTGCTGAAATCACCACAAATTAAGACAGGAGCCCTGTGAGCAAGACTGATGAGTCAAAAGCTAAAATGACCAAGAAATGAGGTGCTATGGGAGGCCAAGGGGGGCAGATCACCCGAGCTCAAGACCAGCCTGGGGAACATGGCAAGACCTAGTCTCTACAACAAATACAAAAATTAGCCAGGTGCACTGGCACACGCCTGAAATCCCAGTTACTCGGGAGGCTGAGGTGGGAGAATCTCTTGAGCCTGGGAAGGACGGGGCTGCATTGAGCTGTGATCATGCTGCCGCACTCTAGCCTGCACGACACAGCAAGACCCTGTCAAAAAAAAAAAATTAAAAAAAAGAAATAAGGTGGCCTGACCCAGGTGTTGATAGGTGATAAAAACAATGGCAGTGGGGGAGATTCAAGCTGATGACTTGAGGTTCACACTGGCGAATGATAGCTGAGGTGGGAAGGAGAGAGAATATTAAATAATATGCTTTCCCTTGAGGAAAAAAATACATCATCCCGTAGCTTTTGGGTTACCTTACACGGATTAATGTTTTGTCTCTTGCTTTCTTAGCTTGCTGAGGCTTTTTAATGATATTGATCAGGCTCTGACTGCTCTTGGCAACTCTAATGGAGTCCTAGCAGTTGTCTATCACGAGAACTTCGTTAACTAAAGAATGAAGTGTTCCCTTCATTCTTAGCCCACTCAGATGTGATTCATGTTATTATCTAATTTTCAAGTCAGATTACAACTGTAATTCTTACGAAGGTAGCTAGCTACATCATTTGATTAGATTTTATATTCCTTAGGCTCTTGACATATGTAAATGTCTTTTTAGTTTACTATTAACTAATCTTGAACTTGTATATTTCACATTTCTCGAAATTGTATAAAATGTCTGATTGAATGGTGGGTATTTCTCAGCTTTCCCTGACTGTCTGGTTACAGCTTCCGAAATTGTTGAACTGTCATGAAGCAGGTACCTTTGTTTGCAGTTGATATTTGTTTTCAGCATTCCTTGTTAGCTAGGCTGGTCTTGAACTCCTGGCCTCAAGTGATCCACCTGCCTCAGCCACCCAAAGTGCTAGGATTACAGCTGTGAGCCACTGTGTCCAGCACTTAGAGACAGAGATGCTGGGTAATAACTGGGCTCACTCACTAGATAAATAACTTATTCATGCATATCTGCCTTGCAGAGTAATTAAAAATTGTGTTTCAGAAAAACAACAAATTATTATACTCGAGAAAGTTCCACACACAGCGTTAAGTTGTTTATTCAGCTGGGTGCCGTGGCTCACTCCCGTAATCCAAGCACTTTGGGGGGCTGAGGTGAGCCCAGGAGTTTGAAACCAGCCTGGGCAACACAGGGAGATGCCTACTCTATAAAAGTTCAGAAGTTCATTTTATTTACTTATGATTTCTTACCACACAGAAGTGAGAGGGGCCACAGCCCCTTTTTTGGGAATCTGGCCCTGGGCTTTGCAGCCAGGAGGCCATCAGAGCTCCTGCCGATGTCCATTTCGAGTGGAATTTTGCTCCTACTGAAGGTTCTCATCTCTGCACTCCTTATATTTCTATTTTTATACTAACTGCGATCACTGCAATTCCTCATCTATATGCTTCTCAGCAGAGTTTGTGTCTTTTTAAGTTCTGGCTTTGTTCATCCACTGAGGTCATTGACTCGGGGTGTGCAGGGGCCTGGTGTGGACATCAGTGTCGCTGCGACACCCAGCTCAGCACAGGGCGCTCACTGTGGGTTCAGTGAGAAATCCACGAGGACCTGTGGTCCCCAGGCCCTCACAAGCCATGGAGGAGTTTGGAATGTTTCAAGGGGTAATTGAAAGCTCCTTCTCCCTTTTAGCCATGTTTCATAGCTCTGAAACAGTTCCCAGGTTATGTCTCTTGGTGGGACCAGGCCCCGGGGACAGCTCTCCCTCGAACGACTCTTAAGCTCTCCTTTACTCCTGCTAAGGTCTCCCACACCCATGTCCCCCTGAGAGAGAATGGAAACTGGCTCCCCAGGACCCTCCCTTGTGCCTTCCCTGTCCCAGTCTCAGAGTTTGAAGGCAGTGGGGGCCGAAGGAAGAGGAACTGAGAGAAGCCAGGAGTTCAAGAAGCAATTGGTTTAATGGGGTGAGGAGGTTGGCAGGAAGGCGAGCCCTGCGGCTCCTCATTCTGCCCTGGCGGGGGCTGGCGTGCAGGAGGGGAGCCCCGAATGCTTTCAGGCCTGGGGTCAACAGGGAGAGGACAGGAGAGCAGGAATGCATGAGCTTTGCCTCTTGCCGTGGGGAGGGAGGAGGAGACGCTGCCTGCAGGGAGGAACAGGAGCCGCCTGGTCTGGGGAGGTTGGGCAATACTGCACTTCTGTGTGTACCGATGGAGGAGGAGGGGAACGGGGTCCGAGGCCGGAAGACATCAGAGGGGCTCGGCAGTGCAGCAGCCTGTGAAACTGACCCCACAAAACGCAAACCAGCAGATGGCACCCTCGCCCTCCCCTCGCCCTGCCCTCGCCCTCTGTCCTTGAGGCCTCCCCCTCCAGCTCTGCCTCTACTTCTTCCTCCCAATCTGCGCCATCAGGTGGGCGTTGGCGGCAGCCTGGGCACGCAGGTTCTTGGCCTTGGCGATGCTGAAGAGGTGGTTCATGATGTTGGTGGGGACGTCGAGGGACAGGGTGAACTTGGTGCGCTGGGGACTCTTGGCTGTGTCCTGATGTGCCTTTCCCCTGGGCTGTGCCTGGGACACGTATTTGTACCGGGTACCCCCAGCTCCACCCCTGGCCCCGGAGAGAAGGAAAGTCCTTTTCCCTTTACCCTCCTCCTCCTCTCCTGAAGAGGGGTCTTGGCTGGGCAGACGATGGAAGCTCCTCTTGCTCAGCAGGGATGCGTCCAGCCCCTGGCTCTTCTCGGCCTCAGACAGGGCGGTGTTGAGGCAGCTGAAGATGGGCTTGGCCTTGTAGAACTTGTGGGGGAGGCCTGTCCTGGGGCCCCCCAGGAGCAGCAGCAGGACCAGCAGGAAGTGGATTGGTGTCCGCATCTCTCCCTGCAGCAGAAAAGAGGGACGTGGCAGGGGCAGGGGAGGGGCTTGGCGCTCGGGAGGATCTGGATTCAAATCTAATAAGGTGTGGTTACTGTTCCCCCATGAGGGTTCTCCAGGCAGGACCCTCAGACCCGCAGCAGCAGCCCTGCCTGGAACGTCCTTAGGAATGCAAGACATTCTCAGGTCCTTTTCCAGAATGAGTAAATCAAAAGCTCTGGGGCCCAGCTGCCTGTGTTATAACAATCCTGCAGATGATCTCAATGATCACTAAAGTGTGACAACTATTTATTACCTTATTAGTATTTATGGGTTTTATTTAATTCAGCTCTGCAGGCAGCCACTGCCCCTGTAAAGCAAATAACTAACATACTAAGTAAGCATTTAGCAGCCTACCGTGGTTGATTTTAACGGCAGGTGAATTTTTTCTTCCTTCATCATTGGCAAGGCTAACTGAATATATCTCTGTTGCTTAAAGACCATGGCTGGGCGTCTAGTCAGTGTTTTGAAGACAGAGCTTTAAGGCTGGTTTCTCACTAGGCTGTCCTAGTTTTGTGAGAACAATCATTTGTTATTAATAACTAGGTTGGTTTTTCTACAGAATTTATGAATTTATGAAGCCAAAGTCAGACCAAGTATCATCCGGGGAGTACCGCCATCCTCTAACCACGGGACCTCAATGCCAACATTATCTGTGGTCTCTAAGATGTGTGGGATCCTGGTTCTCAGTCGGATGGAGTCAGAGTGGTTGTCCAGGGCAAGGAGGAGACACTGAGAACCCTGAAAGGGTCATAGTCTACACGGACCAATGGAATCCATTCTTTTATTTCAAAAAGAAAAAGAAAAGAAAAACTGGCCAGTCACGGTGGCTCACACCTATAATCTTAGCACTTTGGGAGGCCAAGGTGGGAGGATCGTTTGAACTCAGGAGTTCAAGAGCAGTCTGGGCAACATAGTAAGACCTCATCTCTACACACACACACACACACACACACACACACACACACAAATTAGCTGGGCGTGGTGGTGTGCACCTGTGTTCCCAGCTACTCAGGAGGCTGAGGCAAGAGGATTGCTTGAGCTCCAGAGGTCGAGGCTACAGTGAGCTGTGACTGTGCCACTGCACTCCGTCCTGGGCAACAGAGCAAAACCCAGTCTCAAAAAGGAAAGAAAAAACCCTAAGTGTTAGCGTAGGGAATGCTGTGGCAATAAAAACATCTAACTCAGTGGCCCTCATGTAACGTGGACTATTCGGGCTCAGAGCATCACATGCCCTTGCTGGTTCACCAATCACCAGCGTTAAACAAGGCATCAAACTGCTGCCTTCATCAGGGGAGAGGCTTGTGCTGAGCCACCCGCACCTCCCGCTGGGGCTCCTGCACGGTGGCAGCAGGCGGCTGTGCTGGAGGCCATCAGAGTTCGGGTGGCCTGTGATCACTATTCCTTAGGATTGTGAGGTGGGCGGGGTTGACTTCCTGTGCCGTGGGCCCAAACCCACCCTGCAGCCAGCCCCCTTTGCCTGCCTGTGGCACACATTCACTCCAGCCCTGCAATAAGGACATCACATTTATTTATTCATTGTTGTCCTTCAGCATGCCTGAGGGCGAAACAGTGAGGCGCACATGCCAGGACTTTTATCTAAACTCCTTCTAGAGAAAGCACGGCTGCCGTCTGCGGCCAGCTCACACCCCGACATGCCTGTTCTCTCACTGCAGTGTGAAGATGAACCATCCCCCAGGCTACCCTGTGAGATACAGGCAGCGAAAGGCTCTGCTCATTGCCTTTGTGGGCTTTACCTGAACTTGAAGATTACTTTGTTACCTAAGACACACTTGAGTTTCACAAAAGCAAGCAAGAAACGTGGTTCACTGTAAACTTGGGATAATTCTTTTCTTATGTTAGTTTTAAATAAATAGGAACAATGGGGCAAGTAAATCACCTGGGGATTCACCTGGGCCTTCAGCAGCTTGAGGCTGGCATTGGGTCATGGCATTCTTTGTGGTGATGGTGCAGAGCAGGGCCAGACAGGACTGGCGGTCAGGGCTCCAGCTCCAGCCTCCCTCTGCAGCTCCTTGTCAGTGTGGCCTTGACCAGGCCATTTCCCATACGTGAGTGCAGTGGACCCAACCCAAGCCCGTCCAGACAGCCTTAGGCTGTGAGCGATGGATGGGCTTGGGTTGGACCCGTCCTTACAAAAGGAAGGCCCTTTTGTAAGGGCCTTTGGGAAGGCCCCCTTCCTTACAAAAGGAAGCCTGGGGCCAGGTGCCATGGCTCACGCCGGTAATCCCAGCACTTTGGGAAGCCGAGGTGGGTGGATCATGGGGTCAGGAGTTCAAGACCAGCCTGGCCAGCATGGTGAAACCCCATCTCTGCTAAAAGTACAAAAATTAGCCAGGTGTAGTGGTGTGCACCTGTAGTCCCAGCTACTCATGGGCTGAGGCAGGAGAATCTCTTGAACCTGGGAGGGGGAGCTTGCAGTGAGCCGAGATTGTGCCACTCACTGCACCCCAGCCTGGGTGAAGAGTGAGTCTCTGTCTCAAAAAAAAAGTAGCCTGTGTTTCTTTCTAAAGAGGATCCTGTAAATACCTGTCGTTTCACTTACCCTGAAAACAGACACACATGATACACAAAAACATAAGCAAGCACATATACATACTCACATACTCATAAACACGTACACATGCACACATATACACACACATATGCACTCACATACAAATACACACATACACACATGCACACACATACTTCACACGTACATACACACATGCACATGCATACACATACATATGCACTCACATACAGATACACACATACACTCATGCACACACATACACACTTCACACGTACATACACACATGCACACATATACACATACATATGCACTCACATACAGATAAACACATACACACATGCACACACATACACACCTCACACGTACATACACACATGCACACGCACACACATACACATCCATATGCACTCACATACAGATACACACATACATACATGCACACACATACACATAGACACACACACATGTGCACACACATACACACCTCACACGTACATATACACATGCACACATATACACACATATGCACTCACATACAGACACACATACATACATGCACACACATACACACCTCACACGTACATACACACATGCACACACATACACATATGCACTCGCATACAGATACACACATACACACATGCACACACATACACCTCACACGTACATGCACACATGCACACACATACACATAGGCACACGCACATATATACACACATGCATGCACATACACGCCTCATGCATCATACTATACCCATATACACATGTGATTCTCATCCCACATACATATAGACACATGCACACGCATACACCTCACACATACATACACACATGCAAACATACATATACACCTTACACACGTACACACGCACACACATATACTCATATGCATAAACATTCACCCAGCAAAGTTTCTGTCAAAGCCTGCTGCTTCCTCTGGCTCTCCACATTGAAGCTGCTGCCTTTCTCTCCTTTAATTTTTTTTCTAAGAAATTAGGTTTTGTTTCGTTTGTTCAATTTACTTTGCATGACAAACCTTTGGAGCTTATTTTATGTAATAATATTTTTCATAATTTATGAAAAAACACATGATCCTTGCTTTAAATAGTCCAAACCTATGAACTAGCCAGATCTGGGCATGCAGACTGGTGCAGGGAGAACAACACAGGCTTTGGAGTTAGACAGCCACGGGCTTAAATTCCTTCATTGTCTATTTGCTGAGGGTTTGGGCAGAAAAGCTCTGTGAATTTCAATTTCCTTCTCTGATAAATGGGATAACAATCACCACCTCATAATGGTTAAGTGAAGGATTAGATGAAAAACATGGATGTGTGTGTGAAAGCTCCTGGTCTAAGCAGATGCTTAATCAAGGCTGACCTATCCCTGAATAATCCCCAGGTCTTCTCAGGAGAAGATCTGGTCTGCATACAACCTTCTCAAGTGTATTTTACACACACAGATGTGCATACACAATTCACATGTGTACAGAGAGACCAGGTAGTCTGAGCAAGGACTTGATCCTGCAGACCCACGTCCTTGCTGTACTGTACCTCCGGCTTGTAGCTTTTGGCTATGCGCTACCCTCTTCACCCTGACCTAGGCAGACTCCTTTTACCCCTAGTCTAGGAAGTGGTTCTCAGCTTTCAAGTGCTTTGGACTCATGTGGAGGTGTGGTTCAAACACGGCCTGCGGCGCCCCATCCCAAGAGCTTCTGAGTCACTGGGTCTGGGATGCTCCTGAGAAGCTGCATTTCTAGCAGCCTGGTGGCGCTGATGCTGAGGTCTGAGGACCACACTGAGAACCACTGCTCTATGTGCTCTGACCCATCTCTGCGCTCCTTGGAACTGTACACTGGAATTACAGGGTTGCAGTAACCATATCTGGAAAATGGGCTTTTCTTTCCTTAAAGAAAAGCATCCAATGACCAGACCGTCAGCTTTCTCATTTGCAGAGGACCGACTGAGTTGTATTTCTTAGCGTATGAAGCATGATTTTAGCTGCCTTATACCGTCAAGGCATCTTAAAGCTTGGAAATTATTTTGAATGGCTTCCTAACCCTGAAAGGGTTAGAAAAAAAAAAAAACCAAAAACCAATTTGGAAAAATACTGGTGGGAAAGTGGTGGAGACTCTCTGTCTTTGTGTGCCTTTACTCCTTGATCCCCTTACCCCTTTCCCCACCAGACTCAGTCCTGTCCCTCCCACTCACTAGCTTGTGCCTAACCGTCCCGGGCCTCAGTGTGTTCCTCTTGGAGAGCAGGGGATTGAGTTTGAGAATCTTTGTTCTGATTTCTTGCTTTTTCTACTTCTGAAAGCCAGCGGTCCCTCTATGAAAAGGACTGGGGGAATGAAATGATTTCTCGATTTTCACCAAGTGAAAGATGCCTGGACTCTGGGTGGGTGCAAACTAAAATAGAGGGTGCTGTCTGGGCGAGGTGGCTCATCCCTGTAATCCCAGCTGAGGCCTGTGGATCACCTGAGGTCAGGAGTTCGAGACCAGCCTGGCCAACTTGGCGAAACCCCATCACTACTAAAAATACAAAAATTTTCCAGGTGTGGTGGCACATGTCTGTAATCCCAGCTACCCAGGAGGCTGAGAATTGCTTGAACCCGGGAGGTGGAGGTTGCAGTGAGCCAAGATTGTGCTACTGCAGTCTAGCCTGGGCGACAGAGTGAGACTCAGACTCAAAAAAAAAAGATGGTGCTGAGGTGCAGCCCTGGAGCTACCCTCAGGCCTCTGCTGTGGGTTCCACACAGCTGTCTCCCTACCGCCCCCACCTGCCCCATTTGTTTGTTTTACTTCCTCAAACCCTGCACCCAGCCCAGGGAACCCCTCCCTGCTCCTCTCTATTTCCTTCCCAGGGCAGCATTCCGCATTTACCCTCAGACACCTGGAACTTTGCACAATAATTGCAAATATTACTGAGAACTCAGAATACTTTCTGAGTCCAGGTGCGCTGTGGGGCTCTGCCCTCACTGGCTGCCCTTAAGTGTCAGTCAGCACCTGAGTTTACCTGTCTATTCCCACTCCTTAAAGACACTTTGGATGTTACACTTCTTTGGTATCTCCATTTTGCTAAATATGCCAAGCCTTTCACTATGTGGAGATATTCCTGCTGGGTCATTCGGCTCTCAGCAGAGTGACTCGGGATGCTTCGGAAGGCCTGACATGGCCAACAGTGCCTGACACTAAATCATGTTCTCAGTCATTATTTATTGAATCAACTGAAATTCAGGTTAGTATCAGGTACTTAAGACAATTTATTTTCCAAAACAAAGCAACCTCTTAAATTCTTTTCTGGATGTATATTTTATCTGCAAAATATATGGCATACATTTTTTGTTTTGTTTTTTATTATGAAGTTATACATGTTTATCTAGAAAGATGAGGGTTTCTGAACATGAAACAGCCTTGTCTAAGTAACTGTCTACGTTTTCCTGTGAAAAATCCAGGTTTTCCCTTGCAGTGGGCTAGCCTCTAGACATGCCCCTGTGTCTCATCACAGTTACAAAAGCAAGGCACTGAGGGGAGGAAGTGAGATCCCTTTTAGCTCTATATTTACTTTTTAAAAAAAAATTTTTTTGGGGGGTCAATTTGTAAATATCATGCCTTTAAAAAATGCATCGCCTTCTTACTTTTCAAATCCCAAGCCTGCCATCAAAGAATATTGTTTTCACGGACAGAGTGCTGAAGGTGTAGACAAGATCTGCAAAAGTGTCAGGGAGCAGGTGTCCTGTGTGGCGTTCTGTTCTCGATATATCCGAGGGTAGCAGATCTCCTCTGTCTGCAAAGCCTCAGCTCCAGACTGCACAGGGTTGGGGGGGTGGCATTGGAAGGTGTCCCCTTACCATCAGCAATGATGCAAAGTTACACAGCGAAGGAACCTCCCAGAACTGTGAACTGGTCATGATGAGAATGTCCGGTGCTGCGCTTAGTTCTAGATCATTTAAAATAGAAGGGTTCCTTGCAATCCTGAGTATTTTCACCATCAAAGTGCACGAATGGCCGGGGGCTAGAAGGTAGATTCCGATTCTTTCTGGGACTTTTCTTTTTAGGATCTGTTTAGATTTGTTTAGGGTTCATAGGATAAAAGAAAAGGAACTTTCCCCAAAGAAAAGACACCCTTTCCTTCCCACATAAAGTCTAATTTTGCAAGTTTCTCCTTTTATATTCCTTGCACCCTTCCGCTATACCCTTGGTGAAACACCACCAATGTTTGAGATTTCTTTGCAGCCTGCCATGAAAATAACCGAGCACCATCTAGTTATTAATACATTTGAAGGGCAAAGCTCTACACCGGCATTTTTCTGGGTGCCTGAAACTCAGCCATTCCTTTGGGCTACGATGACAGTAGCACTGTCTAGGGTGCTGCAAAGAGACAGAGTTACTTCTGAGAGCTGTGGCAGAGCCAGGCACGGAGACGTGAGGGACCTGGGTCAGCCTCCAGTTCCCAGCATGTGGAAGGGAGAGAGGACAGCGCGTGAAGCAGCAAACGCGGGAGGCAAGCAGCCCTGGCCGCACAGCTCGGCCAAGCGCAGAGCTATTCCCGTGGGCTCAGTTTGTCTGCAAACACTGATAAGAAGTTAAACTAAAAACTAGACCACTTAACCTACTTAAAACAATTTTTTTTTAAAATCTTACATTTGTTTCTTTTTGGTAGGTGGCTTTGCTTGGGAAGGAAATTGCAAACAGGGTTTTTCAGAAAATGTGAGCATCAAACATCCATCTCGCCTTCACAGGTAGCAGTTAGCCATCGTAGATACCTGCACACACACCCGCAGTTTTCCCAGTGTGGCAAAGGACTCTGGGCTTTGGTGGCTGAGGACCTGGCTGGGAAAACTCCCTCGCCTCTGACTTTTCTGGGTGAATCACTTAACCTGCGTTTCATTTGCTGAATCCTAAGACGAAGCTGTTACCTGCCTCCCAGGTGTGCCGAGGGTGAAGGGAGATGGCACAGGTAAGCAGTAAGTGTAGGTGTCCTTGCTGCTCTGCAGTGTGCAGTCATGTCCTGTGACTCCCATTTGCCTCGGCATCCCTACCCCATCCCCAGTTTGCAAACTGTCTCCAGGGACTGACTTTCCTGGGGACAACTGAACTCTTCAGAGAACACAGATTTGTGTGAACACATTCTGCCTCTGATCTAACACCTTTGGAAAGCAGGTCTCTCTCTACCAACAAGGGAATGTGTTTGTGCCGCATTCCCCTGCGAAACTCAACCCGTCCCTTCGGGGCTGATTTCTGCTGATGGGGGTGGGGGGCACTCAGCTTCGCTCCCTTGGGCTTCCACCCAGGGGCTCTTAGCCGCTCTCATCTCTCACACCCGTCCAGTGCCTGGCACCTCCTGCTTAACTTAGGGCAAGTACATTTACCCTTCCTAAGTCAGTCCCGACCACAAGCTTACCCGAGAGTGGACTTCACTCCGCAGCAGAAGGCTCAGGGAGGCCGGAGCAGCTTCAGGGCCAGGAGGGCGGCCCCAGGCACATCCCCCTGAACTTCGGGCTGCTCCAAGGTCTGGGCTCCTGCTCCTCCGGTATTGTTCCTAAGTGGGCTTTGATAGTCCCTCTCTATGGAAACCGGTCCCCTCCCCTGTGTGTATATAAAAGTGACAGAGCACAGGGTGGATCGTAATTCCAGACGTAGTGTCTACGCTGGGATGAGATTTCATTTAAAATACAACCAGAACCAGCCGTCCACGTCATGCTGATGACAGGTGCTCCAGCCTCGACCCCTCCCACCTCTGCTTCCTACCCCGTCCTCCTGGCACACCCCCACTCCTCTTGCTTCCTAGCAACTTGCTTCATTGATAAAAAGCAAAGAACAAAATAGAACAACAACAAAAAAGAAATAAAAACCCAAAACAAAACAGAACAAAAATCCTGATAAAGTGAGAAGCAGTGTCTTTGAAGAATTTTATTGCTAATCTTAGTTCAAACTAATCTCAGCTTCTCCCACCTTCCCCTTGACTTACTCCTTTAGGAAATCTAGAGCCCAGACCTGCTTTGAAAGCAGAGAAGGGGTTTGAAGTCCACTGCTGCCGTGTTGTTTTGTGGGTTCTGACCGTGCAGGGTTATCCAGCCGCACACGTAGTCCCTGTGCTTGTTACACACTCTGTGCCTGCTTCCCACATAAAGTCTAATTTTGCAAGTTTCTCCTTTTACATTCCTTGCACTCTTCTTCTCAGTGAAACAACGCAAAAGTTTACGATGTGTCTGCAGCCTGCCACAAAAATAACTGAGAACCATGTAGTTATTAATCCATCTGAGAGGCAAAGCTCTACACCTGCATTTTTCTCTGGATGCCTGAAACTCAACCATTCCTTTGAGTTATGATGACAGAGATCATCATACTCCGGAGGTCCAGAGGTTTTAGTGGGAAATCGCTTGGATTTTACTCGTTATGCATCCTCTATTTATTGAGGACCTACTGTGTACCAGGTATTGCCAGGATCCTCAGGAGTGGAGAGATAAGTAAGTTGTGGCCCCTGATCATACAAGGCACTTATGGTTTAGCAAGGTAGGTAAGGCCAGGCACGGTCGCTCACACCTGTAATCCCAGCACTTTGAGATGCTGAGGTGGGCAGATCACGAGTTCAGGAGTTCGAGACCAGCTTGGCCAACATGACGAAACCCCATCTCTACTAAAAATACACACACACACACAATTAACTGGGCATGGAGGTGGGTGCCTATAATCCCAGCTACTTGGGAGGCTGAGACAGGAGACTCACTTAAACCCGGGGCATAGGTTGCAGTGAGCCGAGATCATGCTGCTGCACTCCAGCCTGGGTGACAGAGTGAGACCCCATCTTGAAAAAAAAAAAAGGAAAAAATAGAAAGGTAGGTAAAAAATGCTATAGAGGGGAGCAGTCCTGTCCACTCAAGACAGGAGAGGTGAGCAGGAGGGGTTGCAGACAGAAAAGATGGGTCAGCACAGACAGAGCCAGGGATGAGAGGGATGGGAGGGAAGGCAGGCGAGGGAGGGAGAGGTCGGTGGGGTGAGGAGGCTGTTCTGCACTGAGGTGCTCCAAAGGCCTGCGGAGTTGGGAGTTTATTCGATACGTAATGGGAAGATGTGGGGAACTGCAGTCTCGTGACCCCTTATTCACAGATGAGGAACCTGAGGCTGTGAGAAGCGACCTGCCCAGACCCCACAGGGCCAGCGTGGCAGAGTCGGGTGAGAACCAGGCCTGACGCTGGGCTCAGGGAGTGCTCTTTTCACTGGGCTGAGCTGATGACAATGGGCCCTGCAAAAGGCTGGCTGGCTGTCCCCAGCCCTCCTCCCAGACGGCCGCTCCTTTCATGAAATTCCTCTAGGTGAAGAGGTAAGAGGCCTTCTGAAATTACTGAAACGATTTAGAGCCCATGAGCATTTGGAGGAGCACATGGAAAGCCATCGTGGGGAAGGACCTGTGCCCCCTATTTTAAGCCTCTTTGCAGAGATAGAAAGTCACACCTCCCTGTCTCACTTCTTCCAGAGCCACCTGGGCTGGGATTCTCTTGAGATTGGAAGCAATATGAAACTGGATCTGTGTTTTAATTCAAATTCATTAGTTCACCAGTTCATTCATTAGTTCATTCATTCATTCACTCATTCATTCTAGTTTTTGTGAGAAGGTTTTTGTTCTGTTTTCTGTTTCAGATAATGGAGCAGTAATGGGATTTATGCAGGTTGAGGGGTAGATAGAAACCTGAATTTAACTCCCCTGTCTGCCTTATGGGCTCTGGGATGACAGCGAGTGTCTGAGATGTCAGGGGGTCTTGTGAAGACACCAAACGTTGGCCTCCCAGGGCAGGGTTTCCCATCCTCAGCTCTGTTGACATTTTGGGTGAGGTAATTCCTTCGTTGGCCCTTGGGTCTGCCCTGAGCTCTGCTGGAATTTAGAGCATCCCTGGCCTCTACCCATTAGATGCCAGTAGCACTCCCCTCCTCATTTGTGACCTTCAAAAATGTTTCCAGACATGTCCCCTGGGGGCGTGAGGACCACTTCCCTGCAATATGGGGTTCAGAGAGGGAGAGGTGGAATCTTAGCTTCTTTTCTGGTTTCCTCTGAACTTCCTAGAAATCCTCCTGCCCTGAGGCCACCTCACCGGGACTGAAGAGTCTTGGTGTTGCTGCCTGTTCTTGGAGCCTGCCATCCCCTCGTCACGCAGAGCAGGCTCATTGGCTCCCATTGGTCCATCCTGGGTGGGCTTTGGCATTGCCCAGTGACTTCCGCTAGCCTGGGTGGAATTCCGCACAGAATGCTTCCTGGACACGAGCCGCTGTAAGGGTGCAGTATGGGGTGTAGTTTTCTAGAAACTTAAAGAAATAGTACATTTGCTTTACGGCTTGAATGCTGCTTCCACCTGCATCTGGTGGGGGATTGAAGAGAGGCTTGGGCAGCAAGAAGATGATTAGTAGCAAGACTGCGGGCAAACAGCGACTCCCCCTCTCCCACGGCTGACGTGTCTGTGGCAAGCTGCCGCGCTCACACTTGTCTCTGGCCTTGGGGAGCCATTGGTACCTTTCCTGGAGTCAGCATGAGCTTGTTGTTCAGGGATGTCAATGCCCTGTAAAGGGTACATAGAGGGCCAGAGTGAGAAGAAAAAGCCAATCAGCTTCACCCGTGAATAGGGAGTCAGCATGAGCTTGTTGTTCAGGGATGTCAATGCCCTGTAAAGGGTACATAGAGGGCCAGAGTGAGAAGAAAAAGCCGATCAGCTTCACCCGTGAATAGAAATGGCTCATATTTACAAAGCTCATTTCTCCAAAGTGCCCAAAGCACTTACACTTAATAACATCATTATTTCTTTAACATCTGAGCATGGGAGTAAAAGAAAGAGACAGAAGAGAGAATGAGCAAACTGTGAGAAAGCTTGATTTACGCGAGAGAGGTTTTGCTGAGGAGCTGGAGGGTCCGTTTCCATTTCTGCCTGTGTTGCTAGCGTGGCTATTTGATTCTCATGGACACCCGAATTCTCTAGTTCTCTGTCTCTTGTTTTATCAAATGTAGATTCTATATACATTTTATAGAATGTATAAATTGTGTGCCTTCTATACACAATTGGTGTGCCTTCCCTATTTGTTTTTAACAAGGATGATGTCAAGATAGTATTGCAAGAACTTGATAAATTTGTATGTGAACACAGAATATTGGCATCATCTTTCTTCTTCAGTTCTCCCTTATTTTCTCTGACTGATTTTTTGTTTGTGACTTTTCACTTTCAGCAGAGCGTGTGCTCACTTCCCACTGTGTTTGTGAATTGTCAGGTTTTGCGTTCTGCGTCCAGTTTTGTTTTATGTAACTGGAGTGTTGGGCATATATAAATTGTTCATGTTATCATTTTGCTGCAAACCTCTTTATCCTAAATAATACTTCTCATAAAGTATTTGCTTTGCCCAGTATTGAAATAGCCATCCCATCTTTCTATTTAACTTTTTCTTGCTGTATTTTTTCCAGTCTTTTCTGTTTCAGAATTACTTTGGAAATGGTATATGTTTAAATTTTAAAAATTAAATCTAACAATCTTTGTGTTTTAACCAGGGGCTTTAGTAAACTAATGTAAAAATACTTGACTCCTGACATATTTGAATTACTTTCTGCCATCTTACATTGCGGTTTCTATTTGTCCTGTTTGTCTCCCTTTTCTTCTATTTATTATTGTTTTTTTCTTTTCTGCCATCTGCTGCATTGATCAAGTCTTCATTTTCCTTTTCACTGTATTTTATAATCTAAGCATCTAAAGCTATTTAATATATAACGTTTCCTCTAAGCATTGTTTTAGCCACATCCCACGGGTTTTAATGGGTTGCATTTTCACTGTCATTCAGTTCAAATATTTTTAAATGTTTTTCTGTGATGAAGGGTAACCAACTATGTCACTCCAAAATATGCCATTTTGGCATAAGGATTATTTTGAGCTGATGACAGTTAAGGAAAAGTAGATACTATTAACAGATAAGCTCTTACCGTTTCCGTATTTACTAAGGCAGGACATACATTTGTAAAGGTGTCTGCCCTCTTCTCTACCAGCAAGAACAGAGTTAATCCCCTGAGACATCCTAGACTTTTATTAGCCTGGAGGAGCCAGAGAAATCTACTTAACAAACCTTACTCACTAGCCCTTATCTTTCATCAGTTCCCTCATATATTTACCTTCCTGCAATTTGCCTCCCCTAAAACCTCGAAGTGCTTTTATTTTGTCTTGTCACTTCTCTAAAAATTTATTGCTCTGTTGCTACGATGCTCTAGAATCCCAAGTTCTAACCACTCCTCAGAGTTTCTCATCCCTGAGTTATCCTGAGTGTGTGCAGGTGCACTGGCCAACAAACTGGTATTTGTTTTTCTCTTGTTCATCTGTCTTCTGTTGATCTAATTTACAGGACCCCAGCAAGGAGGGTGGAGAGAAACCAGGAGGGTAGAGGGGAAAAGTTTTTAACTTTGCCTTTGTAATCTGGTGATGATACATTATCTTAGTTTTCTTTTATCCGACAATGTCTTTATTTCCTTTTTACCACTGAAGAATAATTTTTATGGATATAGAATTCTGGATTAGCAGAGCTTTTTCTTTTCTTTTGGTGTTATAAATACGTTGTTTTCTTATCTTCTCCATTCCATTTCTGATGAGAAATATGTAGCCATTCA